CACCAGTGTGCAGCCCCACCTGGATGATGCAACGGCAGCCATAGTGCGCCAGAACGCTCCCCACACATCAGCTCTCAGTGGGGAGGAGAGTAGAGTGATGAAGCCAATTCATAGAGGGGGATTATTAGGAGGCCATGATTGGTAAGGGCCAATTGGAAATTTGGCCAGGACACCGGGGTCCTGGTGTTATAAATACAAAATGGTAAATACTGAGCCTGAAGAGCTGAGCCTGAAGTTATTTTCATTATTTACATCATCTACATCGCTTCACGCCAACTGAAATGTTCAGATCTATAGAATTGAAATCATGGGATGTTTGTTAAATTGTGCACTAGCAAGTCCTCTTTTAATATATTGCATACAATTGTAGTGACCGTGTTAAAAAAATCAATTTGCCTCTGGAATCTGTCCACAAAATGTCCTAAAATGAGAGGCTGAATGTTTTTTACAATTTAAGAGTATGACTTGTTTCAAGATCCTCAAAGGCATTAACAAAGTCAACTCAGCAGATGTCTTCAGAATACACAGTGAAACCCAACCAGAGGACACAGGCAGAAACTGTGTGGAAGTCCATTCCAGACTGGGAGCAAGAGGCACTCCTTAGGGAAAATGTTATGGAGGTATAGCACAAGCTGCCTGGCCATGTTGTTGAAGCTTATACCCTGGCCCTGGCTACTTTCAAGACATGACTAAATGAAATCTGTGGTTAATTAATTAAATACTACTTTTTTTCCCTGGGTTTTCACTTATCTATGTTAAAAAACAACCACTTAAAACATTTGCTCTGACCATTCTTTTTTCAAATGCTCTATTATAATTAATACTAAAGTACCCAATGCTGATTTGGGGGTAATCAGGCTAGGACTATTGCTAATCAGAGTCTGGGAAACAACCCCTGAGAGTTGCGTTAATGTTGCAGACTCAACGCCTCAGGGGTGTCTCACCTGTGACTGGGGGAGCACCCTGCAGAATGGGATCTGTTACCCTCGCTGCGAGGAGAAACGTTACTTCTCCGAGGATGTAAGTAGCAGCAGTCAAACACTATGGTTGGTACAGCACTAGGAGAAATATGTACAATGGCACCAGAATTCACTGTTTGTACCTTCTCTACGTAGCTGAGTAAACAACAGTATAAAGAACTACTGTATTATGAACCTCAGTGTTGCTCTCAGCCTTTTATAACTTCTAGTACCCTACTTTCTCTAACGTGTACAGTATATACAGCATATATCCTATATATACAGAGTTTTGGTTCCTGTTTTGATAATGACACATTCTGTAAGCATCAAATCAAATCAAAGTGTATTTATCAAATGCACAACAATACGGCATGCAGCAGTAGTTGCTGGCAATGAAATGTCTTTTCTGTGAGCTCACAAAAATCACAAAATTCACAAAAACAAAACAAATCACAACATTGAGGTTACGTTTTCTTAAATTAATAAAACTCAATATGAGTAGAGCTTTTATGTGTCTATGTGCTATGTGTCCATGGTGTATGCAATATATACAAGTAGTGCAGTTATGCTGAATACAGTGAAAACTGTGTG